AGGAGAAGTAGCAGTAATATTAAACAACTGTAATCAAGATATTTCTAATCTATATTCTACCAGGCAATCCATTTTCAAAGGCAGACAAGCAAGAGTCAGCCACAGTCACACCTTGAAGGCCTTTATGAAACTGTGGTGAAGGATTTCAGCAAGGGTTTTCAGACAGCAGGGCAACATTCTGTCCTAAGATTTGCCTTTCAGTCTTTGACAAACACAATGAATCTGCATTCTCTTCCAGGCTCACAGCAGACAACAACAGGGAGATATATGGCAAGAATTCAGGATGTGGAACTATTTCTGCATATGAATATGCCAATCAATTTGGAACATACGTGCAGAATTTAATCTGCTTATGTCCAAGGAATCCCAGGAGCATCATCTACTGCAAAGATTACTTCTGTGACAACTGCTCCAGGCCAAAGGAAATCTCTAAAGGAGACCTGCTGTTAACGCAATTCAATTTAAGGAATATTAAGCCTGTAGGACTTCTTAAAAATCAATAGTAATGGTGTCTTGTCCCCATTAACTAATATTTACCACAACATTCTTTTCACTCCAAATGTGAAAGGAGGATCACAAACTGGAGGATCACAAACAAAGTTGGGACATTTGACAGCCCAGTATATTGTACAGTATATTTAGCCAACGTAATCCTCGCTATGGATATTTTAAATCGCTGCACCTTTTCAGCTGTCCAGGATTCTATTGAAGATTTCATAGACATTAGGGCTGGAAGGGACCTTGGAAGATCATCAAGTCCAGCCCCCCCACCCAAAGGGCAGGAAGTCAACTGGGGTCATAGGATCCCAGCAAGATAAGCATCCAATTTGCTCTTGAAGGTGTTCAGAGTAGGTGCTTGAACCACCTCTGATGGCAGACTGTTCCAGACCTTGGGGGCTCGGACAGTAAAGAAATTCTTCCTTATGTCCAGCCTGAAACAGTCTCGCAGTAGTTTATGACCGTTCGACCTCGTCATCCCTTGGGGTGCTCTGGCGAACAAACATTCCCCTAGATACTAGTGGTCACCCCTGATAAACTTATAGGTGGCCATCAGATCACCCCTGAGCCTGAGCTTTTCCAGGCTAAAGAGCCCCATGGCTCTCAGCCTGTCATCGTAAGGTCTGTTTTCCTGACCTCTGATCATGCGCATGGCTCTTCTCTGGACTCT